TCATCTATCATCTCTCTATAATTTAAAAACAATCTATCTCCGTCACATTTCTCTAACTGACAATTTGGGAAGATTCCCTTCATTGGCTCTGTGGCATTTGCTAGCCAGGGTTGGTGAAAAAAGTCAAGATGGCTACCAGGGAAGTGCAGTCCAAACCCTGCAGCGCTCTAACATTTCAAAAGGCCCAGCTCCCATCGCGCCCATGGCATCCGCCATCTTGACTTCTTTGACCTGAGGAGGCCGCCACCGCTCCTACCGCCTCTCACGAGGATAGAGGGGGCAACAATCGACACCTGTGTGCCCCAAAAGGTTTAAAGATTTGTTCAGGCGGATCAAACATCTTTTGACTAACCTGCACGAAGCGGGCTCCGCAAGTTTCACATTTGTAAGGTTTCTCCCCGGAGTGGATCCGCGTATGTGTCTTGAGGTTGGCTGGTCGGTTGAACTGCGCCCCGCAGATGCCGCAACGGTAGGGCTTCTCACCTGTTTCGACCAACGAAAGGGGCAACGTTTTTAGCATCGCAAAGTTCTTTGCACGCAAACCAACACCAAAGCTTTGAATGCAAAGTTCTCGGTCAAACATTTGAATTTCTACATTCGTTTTCTCTGAAACTGGAAGAGGGGTGGGACTTCAACTCCCAGAATTCCCCAGCCAATATGGGGGAACTTTAAGGTAAATTACATCCACTACGTTCCCTCAATCGACTAACCTAGCCGCTTGGTCCCAAAAAGAGCAGTAAGATTTGTCTAAGACAAGTGTTTCTCAGTCTGGACCACTTTAAGAGGAGTGGGACTTCAACTCCCAGAATTCCCCAGCCAGGGAATTCTGGCTGGGGAATTCTGGGAATTGAAGTCTCACCCCTCTTAAAGTGGTCCAGATTGAGAAAAAAAACCTACAAAACTCACAAATTTGGCATCCCCTTTTAATAACACTTTTTTTCCACAGTTTAGGCCGTCTAATCCTCACGGGATACCACAAAATTTTGGATCGCCCCAAGACTTCAACTCCCAGGATTCCCAAGTCTTTCCTAGCTGAGGCTGCTGGGAGTTGAAGTCCCAGGGGTCCAGGTTCCCCCCCGCACCCAGGCCGAGTTGGCCAACGTTTCCACAGGGCCCATGGTGAAACAATTTTGGTTTTTTTTTTTACAAGCCAACATTTGAGGGTCTCAGGGGTGGGGTTGTCACAGATCACAGAGTGCTTTACAAAACACACGGCTCAGCTCCCCCCCCCCCCCCAAAAAAGTCATATTCTCCAGGCTGTTTCCAAGGAAGGAGATGACATTTCCCAGAATCCCCTGCTCGAGACCCAGATCTGACTCGGATGGGGCTGTGAAAAGACCCCTCCCCCAATTCCCAGGAGCAAACTTTGTCCCTTTTTCTGGCATGCATGAGACGTCCCACGCCCCCCACCTCCCATGTATCAAAGGAGTGGAGTTTGCAACCCACAACGGTGGGATACTGCTTTAGAGGTAGTCCTCGACTTACAACGATGTGTTTAGTGACCATCGGAAGTGACAACGGCACTGAAAAATTGACTTGTGGCTGTTTTTCACACTTTACGACCGTTGCAGCATTCCTACAACCACGTGGTCAAAATTCGGCAACTGCCTCAGATCTGTATTTGAGCCCTGTGCGCAAATGCGCAACGCTCAGCTGATTTTCACAATTGCCGTACCTCAGCTGAGGTAAAAAAACAGTTCTGACAGCTTTCCAGCATTGACAGAGGTCTATATTTGAGCACTGCGCGCATGCGTGAAGCTTAGCTGATTCGCGCGATTGCCGTGCCTCAGCTGAGGTAAAAAAAACAGTTCAGGCAGCTCACCAGCGTCGACGGAGATCTGTATTTGAGCCCTGTG